TCGTGATTGGACGGCGGCCGCACACTACGGTCCGCCGCTGGGACACCTTACACCGGCGCCCGAAACTTCCCCACAAGGTCACCGCTGCCGCCCCTCTGCGCCCTGCCGCCCCGAGGCCGGGCCTCTGTGGCCTTGTGGGAAATCCGGGCCTGACTGGAATGGGACTTCTGGAACAAGTGCGATTTTATTTTCATTATCGGCTCTCATCTTAAATCTCCGTTACAAAGGTACAAGTGCCAATAAAGTTTTTCGGTGTTATAGGGAACATCAGGAAGTGATTATTGTGTCCTCGTAGCTGTATATCTGCAGCGCGAGATCATCTCAGGCACTGCTGCCTCTGGACTCAGATTCACTGAGAGATTCAGAGTGAGATTCGGTGATGTCACCGCTGGTCACTGTTTCTCCTTGCTGGAGGGGAAGCCGTACCCGAGGACCTGCAGTGCAAGGATCTCCCTTGCTTCCGCTTCATCCATTCTGGGGATCTGTGCTTCCTCCGCCTCTATCATTACCCCACCAGTCATCAAGGGGGGGGCAGCTCTGACATGGGGAAGCAAAGTCCTGCCTCTACCAAGATGGCCGCCACCACACAAAGGCACAGTGATAGAACAAGGCACGGTAAGCCAGTAATGGGGAGAAGATCACCGGCAGGGAGGCACGCATGATAATATTAAAGAATGGATGTTGCCCGGTCCGTAGTCTCTCAGATTTCGGAGTTCTGGCAGGAAGGGACCAAATGTATCCCCCAAAATGATATGAAACGAATGACACCAACTTCTCTGAACAATCCCCCCAACATAGCCAAGCTGCGTTATATAAAGGACCCCCCATACTGCCCTGTGATCTCCCCGGACTGGGCGGAGCTACCTGGATGAAGTTGGAGGCCGGACACAAGAACCAGGCCAGAGCCTCCATCTTGGATAATAGATCGGTAGACAACCAGGACCTGCCCGCCTTCCATCCATCCAACCCCAGAGACACACGAAGACTACGGTCATCAACCACTTGTGGCCAAACGGGCATCGGCAACCCACAGAAGGGCCGCCGTCACCGCGATGACAAGTCATGGTGGGACTAAACGCCTGGAGCTTGTAAAGTCTCCTCGCCTGGTGCCCAATGGGTCAGGAACCCGTCCATGGCATCTCCAAGGAGTCACACACTGCTGAGTCCTGGCTGAGAGCCAATAACGGTGCATCAGATGGTGCCGGTGTGCCGGACACCATGCGTTCTATAAGCACGGACAAAAGGGCCTTGAGGTGGGAAGATAGAGCGTGGTGGGGAGTGGGTACCCCTTGTGAATGAGCTCCAACTTTACCATCTCTGGCGCTGGTTACGGCTAACGCAGGTCAAGGAGCTCACATGGCCGCATTATGATGGATACAGGGAGAGCGGAGGGGCCCCCCGTAATCCGAGGCCGGCCTGTGTGTCTGTCCTCACATATAATGAGCAGTGATGGTATCAGCGCAGGTGGAAAATGTCCCCGAGCTCAGGAATGTCCTCCTCCCGTGGTGACGTACACTCACGCCTCTCCGGGGTCTGTGCTTTATTCAGCCTCTGA